GAATCAATAAAATGCGTTTTTTAAACCTTCAACCATCCTTTGTTGACCATTTTCTTTGACATATTAGGTTATTATTCAGTACAGTTACACTGTACATGTATGTGCATTAATTTGCTATCTAAAACACTAACTTATCATTACGAGATAATAAATGCTTTAACCTCGAGTCCTTTTTCGCTTTAAAGTTTTGGGCAAGTGGAAATATTGTTTGGGCAAGTAAATTGAAAACCCACTTGCCCGACAGGGCAAGTGGTGAAAAAAATTCTTGTAGCACCCTGGAATGATAACCAATTTTCCCTAGGAATGATAACAATTTATATAAGTAAATTGGTGGAATGATGGATATCAGGATATGGGGAGCACAGTCAAACACATGACAGTTACTCCCTCGCTCTTCAGATTGGGTTTGCGTTAAGTGACTTAGCTGGGTTGGTCAAGAATAAGTATAATGTGAGAGAGTGGCAGACATGATGATTTCTGTCACCTGCTGCGGCATTGGCACACTTTGTCTTTAACATTTTGAATTTAAATAATGGAATCGCTTAACATACTTTGAATTTTATCTGTGTTTCTTTAAATCATGATACAAATTGTTTGTATAAGTAAACAGATATGACTAGATTTGTCGAAATTAAACAAAAACCACAACAACAACAATTCCTTCCTGTACGTCTGTACATTGATTAATGCAATATATTTTATGTATTTAATTTCATTACATAAGGACGTCCCGACTTCTCCTAAGGTCTCTGATACGGATGTGACAGATCATAAGCAGAAAAAGCCTTACCCTGTGCACCAGGTACTTGAATATATTAAAGTCTAAGATTCTATAAGTGTCACTTAACAAGTATGTTTGGCCAGCAGTTGATGAAGATGAAATTGTTAGGAGGTGCAACATCATATAAGTACTCAATGAACCTCAGATGGACAGGAGAGACACAATAACATTCGTCTGAATGAACCACAGGAATTAAATTTACCTTCTACGGATAAATCTATTAAAGGCATTTTTAAAAACTTGGAGAGCATCCATATATGAACTGATGACAGAATTCTGTTTGAAATATTTCGAAGGGATTTAAAAGTGTAGAACATTCAGTTCAAAATGCATGTCATGAATGGAAGAACAATGAAAATGTGGTTCAGGTCAAGACAGATTTGACATTCTTACCAAGCTAGTGAATGGATCACTCAAATTGGATGAAGTGAAAATCGAGGCAACTCGATTGAAGCGAACAAATTTGATAAGGCAAATGTTTGTTCAGCTAAGTAACAAGTCAAGGAAGGAATTTCTGGAGTTCACCGAGACTGAGGCGCTCGATCATTTCATGAGTACATTTTTGAAATATAGTCTAAATGGGCAAAGGCAGATTCATCCTCCCCTAGTCACTTTGCAGTGTAAACCAGAAGGCTTTGATGTCCCTAGTCGAGCCAGAGGTGGGGGAAATGAGGAAAGTGTTGCCCCCGTCCAGAAGATCTCATCTTGGATCTCCACACATCCAGCAAATCCTACAGCATCACCATCCTCTAGATCTGGGAATGAAAAGGACTCCCCATACACTCCATCATCTGATTTAAGATCTTCTGGTTCAGAGGTAGATGAGGGACTTTGGCTGAAGTACTGTACCGATCCCAAATATGTTGTTTTTAATTCGCAATTGGATAGGATTTTTTATTCCATGGAATGCACCAAGTGCTGTGGGGGTCATATTTCAGATTTGAAGAAAATTGTACAGGGTACACTTCTCTCCGTGTTTGTTACTTGCATCTGTGGCAATGTTGTCTCTCGCTGGGACTCACAGCCAATGATAGGGCAAGCGTCCGTTGGAAACCTACTTTGCTCAGCTTGTGCCTTGTTTAGTGGGTAAATGTTTGAGACTATGGATTTTTTTTCATCTATACTGAACCTCGATTTCATAGGAAAGTCTCACTTTTACGACCTCTAAGATGAATTTTTCTTTGCTGCCATACACTCTGCCTACAAGGAAATTATAGCTGAAGCTAGGAGGGAAGTTGGAAACGAAGAAATAACTGTATGTGGGGATGGGAGGTGTGATTCCCCTGGTCATAATGCGAAGTACGGCAGTTACACTATGATGAACATGAGCACACATAAGATCTTGTCCATGGCCCTGGTTCAATTGTCAGAAGCAACAAGCTCTGTGGCAATGGAAAAGGTAGGTTTCAGATGTGCCATAAAAGAGCTACATACCTGCATCACCTGATTGTTTTAACAAGAAATGCAGCCCTAGCGCACCCTAGGGTACTTTGAGAATCCTTGTGGAAAAGCACTATTATTAGCCATGGTAGAATATTCATCATTCTCAAGAGGACCGCTGTCGTATATCAGGAGCAAGGTTCTTTCATTGCTTCAAATTCAAGTTTTTCAATCCTCTCTAAATAAGCTATAATTCCCCTCATCACTTTTACCCCTTATCCGCAGATAGCATTCATTGTTTCTACTTTCAACACTCCTATTGTTTTTACAGAAGCAGTAAGGGCCAATTTTAAAACTGCAACACTAAAGGAGGTGGAAGATGCCATTAAGAACTTCCTGAAGTATGCCTACCAGCGGGTGCGGGAGGCTCCAAGGCTTGCACCAGGGGCTCAGGAGAACGCACTGCTGGTAGAAGAACAAGAAGAAGGTGATGAATAGGGTATTTTTTTAATGTGTCTTAGTCTACAATTGTGGAACACGTGATCAAGAAACATACTCATTATTCATCAGTTTGAATATTGATAGATCATCGTGGCACCAGCTATAAGAAAAAGCAGAAGAGGCAGGACCGTCATAAAGGGCCAGAAGAAGGCCCCAGCAGATAAAAGAGACGGATCAGTCGAAAGATTAACTAATGACGTACTGGTATATAATGTAGTGCCAGTTAAAGTTAAGCTCACGCTACTTTAACTACATTTACATCATACAGCCGGCCAAGTTCCTATTTGAAAGAAGAACTCAGCATAGCAATGAAGAATACATGTAGACCTATTCAAGCATTGGACCCCCAGTTTGGGGTGTGGATGGATGGTACCCTACTTGAGGAACTCGACAAGACCAGCAGTAAGTACAACAATACTCTGTAAAGAGGGATGTACTCTAATGGAAGAATAAGAAGCTGAATGAATGGCTATAGATTGTTTCGCATGACAGTAGCAATTGTAGCAATCAACCATCTACATCGTATGCTACATCAAGTCGTCCATCTACTCCATGTAGTACATCGAATCGCGATCAACCGTCCAGATCCGGATCAACCCGCAGATCCAGTTCACCCCTACTAGTGAACTCGGATGATGATGACTTTGAAACAAGGTACTAGTTAATAAGCAAAGGTGGGCTAATATAAATAATTTGCCTATCACAAGTGTTTAGTTGTAAATGTGACACATGAAAGTGTACAAGAATATTCTGTCTGTGTTAAATGAGGTGATTTTATACTGAAAAAACCAGGTAACATTTGGCGCCCAAAGGCGCAAAATGTTACCGAAAACCAGCAGAATCTGTTATGAAGAATATCCAAGCGTAGGGCCCCCGGTCTGGGGTATAGGTGGGACATAGGACATTCGGCTACCATTCACTAGTCAATTCTACCAAACACAGCTCGCCATGCATTATCTATTTCAACATAGTGAACACTTGCAAAACAAGCTACTCTCCGAAGAGGACGAACATGTAATGGTATACAGGACAAGAGCAGCATGTGAGGCAAACAGAAGGCAGGGAAAACCTTCAACTTGCCAGATATAGACCTAGACCTGGATTTGTTTTATCACCACATGGGACATTCGGCTACCAAACACAGCTCGCCATTCATTATCTTTTTCAAAATGGTGGACACTTGCAGAATAAGGCTACTCTCTGAAGAGGACCAAGAAACAATGGAGTACAGGACAAGAGCAGCTTGTGAGGCCAACAGAAGGAAGGGAAAACCTTCAACTTGCCAGATATAGACCTGGATTTGTTTTATCACCACATGCATCATTCTGGGTTTGCACATGGCCACTTTCAACTGTACAACCTATTAACTTTTGTGTTAGTGCGTACCATGTGCAGCCCACTGTGGTAATATGTATGCAGCCATGCACTGTACTGGTACTGATTTTTGTTGACCTAATTGACTCCTGTGTTGTGCTGTTTTGATGCTGTTTAGTAGCCTAGCCACAGATTATTTCCATCATCTTTATCGCCTAATTCTTGGGATCGGGAAGCCGTTACCATGACTCCTGCTAAGAATACCCCTGCAGAGATTGCTCGCCATGTTATAAGCAAGCTTGGAAATAGTGATTTGTTGACAAATATCGTGGAAAAGGCAGTGAAAAAAAGCAGTAACAGAAGCGGTCGCTGGCCTAGTCACCCGTCTCGAGGAGCAGGAGTCTATATAATGAAAGTTGTGACTTTTGGTGATAAGCCAGCACCTGCCATGGCCCAATTAGCACTGAGAATGACAGCAGAATTGGCCGAATCAAGGTTTCCTGAGGCTGCACAAGTGCTGAAAGAAATTAGTTTATATATGGACGACATCTGCGAGTCAGTCAAATCTGTAGAAGCAGAGAAGCTAACCGACGACATAGACCAAGTACTGGAAAAGGGTGGCTACAAAGTGAAGGGCTGGACGAGCAATGAGTCTCTATGAGGAGAGGGTAAGAAAGAAGGAGACACAAGCCTCACCCAAGCTGCAATGGAAGATGAAGTGCTAGGAATAGCATGAGACAATCAGTCGGTTTTGTGGTTTTTGTTGTGTGATGTGTTTTTATTTCATGGTTGTTTTATGTCTCTATTTGTTTATTGATAGGTGGAGGAGGCCGTTTCTAGTGAAGACCTTGTTATTGGGACATCTGCTTTGGATGATGATGGGTGAGTGTTACTTTTTTGACATATTTTTGTTGATAGTGTTGAATTTGTTTTGTAGGACAGTGTTCAAATTTCAAAGATAGGACACACATCACATATTCCTAATTCATGCAAAAATCTACAGAATATGATTTTGATTTTTTTGTTTGTAAAGGAACATAGTGTTTTAGATTTAAAATGATTTTTTAGTGCACAGTTTTTTTGCAGCCGGTTTTGTGGTTTGTGTTGTGTGATGTGTTTTTTATTTCATGGTTGTTTTATGTCTCTATTTGTTTATTTATAGGTGGAGGAGGCTGTTTCTAGTGAAGACCTTGTTATTGGGACATCTGCTTTGGATGATGAACTTCATCTCAATCATATCCTCCTTGCCATAACTGCTGCACACCGATTTTTGCACGAACCAGAAAGAGAGCGGCAAATCCTATTGGATCGAATATGTGTGCAATACGGCTTAGGATCTTTCAGTTCAGTGGCATTCATACTCTCTGACAGTTCACATGACAAATGGAATTTCTTCTAACGAATCAAAATGGCATCTAGTAGTAGGACCCCCCAAGGAAAAAAGAAAAGAAAAGGTAAGTTCAGTCAAACTATTCTTTCTTTTTTTTCTTTATGGTTGTGTTGTTATATTGTTTCTCTCTTGAAAATGAGGGATATCATTGTAATATTTTGCAACTTAGCTTCTTTTTCTAATAAATTTGATTTTAGTGACAATGCATACCATGGTCTCAAGGCATTTGCCATTTGCCCTGGATGAATACCATAACAAATCTCTTTTTTCTTTCATAACAGACACAGGATGTCACCAGCCTGGACATTGAGATGGAGATTCTGCAGGCATTAGATGACGGCGATGTAGACGACCTAGATTATGGTCACTAAATATTTTTATCATGACTTCATGAGTATTTTAACAATTCTCATTATATATGTATGAATATTTTGTTTTGATGTTTTAGTGTAAGCTTTTATTATTCAGGACCAGGATGTAAACTAGTCCTTTCTGATCTTGTTATCCTGATGAAATATGTTCAAATAAATAAATAAACAAATAGATGAGCTGTGTTATTTTTTAGAGTGTAATGCACTTGGAGAGCATATTATTATTCTGTTTTTTATTCACTAATGTAAAGTGCTTTGAGCTTGTTTATGTAAAGGCGCTATATAAATATTAATATGTATGTATGTATGTATTGACACCGCTCTTGATCCCACCAACTACGAGGAATGGAAACTGCCCGATGAGGTAAAGCAGCATACTGTTTTGTTGGAGAAGAAATCAAGGGACAATCGAGAAAAGACCCTAACTTGGAAAAACAAACCCAGCACCCAAAGAGGACGCCAGAACATGGCAAACATCCTGACTGGTACACCAGGGGTCAACAACGTGCACAAAATCTGACATCCCCAGGAGATGCGTGGATATGTTCACCGATGACATACTGGACATGGTGGTTGAACATACGAACAAGAAAATCCAAGCTTTCCGAGCAGGTCTCGATCCCTCTGTGCTCTCCAACAACAAGATTACGTACCTCCACGATACAGATAATGTGGAAGTAACTGCTTTCATCGGGCTGATCTACACTCAGGAGGGGGTGAGGGGGGGAGAAATGGGTCGCTTATGGGTCCCTGCTTTGCCACAGAACATGAGCCATCACAACAGGAACCGGCTTTTCAATGACCGAATTGGACACCCGATCTTCGGAGCAACAATGAGCAAGAATAGATTTATCTTTCTCCTCTCAAAGGTGCCATTCGATGACGAGTCCACAGGTCGTGATAGATGGTCACAGTTTTTTTTCCCCTTGTAGATATTTTGTTGGGTCGTTTGGGGCCTAACTGTTTCATATTTCTCGGGGGATGCCACTTCTCATTTGGTATTCGTTCACTCTCCCATCCTATTGTTATTTTCCATTATTTTTTTGCAAAATTATATTTCTTTGAATTGTCATATTTTCCAATGTACATAATATTGATTTCTTGTCAGGTGTATTTTCATATGCTATGCTTGAAGATCTATCATTATATTTGTTCTGATGTTTTTAATTTGGAGTGGTCTGTTAGCCAATTCATCTTATTTACCGGTTTTCTGCACTATACACATACTTTTGTTTGTACCTACATGTATGAACTTATTCTGTTTCTTGCTACTTTGCCATTTTAATATTGATTGTATGTTTATTGTGCATTGCTCATATATGTTGATGTTGATTTTATACGTCAAATTGTTGCCAATTTGGGTTTAAAGGTGAACGATGACAATTTTATTAAAACAAACTAAATATTAGGGTGGACTTTTCCTTTAATGTCTCGACCCCATTGGAGTGCTTCCAAATTTGCCAGCAGAGACTAACACAGCCAAGACATAATGAGGACTATGATCATATGAAAGAAAGTTTACATATGTACTTTTAAGTTCTTAATTAAATTGGTTTGGTGCTCTCACTAGCTTGTTTCTTTGCCTGAATTCGAATCGAATGTTTCATGATTTATTTTTAGAGTGTTACATTAGTAATAGCATAAGTTTTCAATAATTGTTTCATAAATACAAAGAAAAATGACTTCTGTTGTGTGCTCAAGAAAAGAAGCTTAAAAAAGAGCTTGCCTATTCAAAAGCATTGGCGACAATCTGATCGGCAAAATGAAAACATTTACTAGTTGTTACATCTTCCTTTGTCTTCTCGTCCATTTAGAATGTGACACCATTTTTCTCTTGATTCTGAGAAGACAAATGAGGAATGGGGCCAGTTATCTGTGAGTCATCCTCATAAATGGATGTTGCAAAAGTTCATATACGTATAAATATTATAGAGTCAACTTATGTTAACGATTCCATAGTACAATTCAAATCAATTTATATACTCTGCAACATATAAGACATACTGTACCTTGGGCTTGCCAAGTTAATAATGAGCGCTATAGCTTGTAACTGAAAGAGTCTTTGTTCTTGCGGAGGTAAGCCAGTGCTTTGGCCCTCAAGGCTTGTCTGTTTGACGTGGTCTGGTGTCCAGGGTCGACCTGCTGCAGGATACTGTCTTGTGATGTCCTCAAGAAAGGGTTGTAGCTCTTCTCCTCACCAAGGGTTGATGGGCTCTGGAAGGGAACAAAATGGAGACATGGCTTTCTTTAATACTGCTACGCTCATGATCAGGGGGTAGAAGGAGGGGGTAGAAGGAGGGGGTGAGGGGGGGGGGGAGGAGAAATGGGTCGCTTATGGGTCCCTGCTTTGCCACAGAACATGAGTGCTGGGGCAGGGATTCGAAACCCATACTGTGTGCGAACCCCATACTGTGTGGTTCACAGTGTGGCAACTTATTCACTACACCACAACACTTCTAGGTGAAGGTGGGGCAAAATAGATAGAGCACCCTCAACCAATTACACTCCTGGACCCCGTCTTACAAAGATTTACGATTGATCCAAATCAATCACAAGTCCTCCAATCAATCGCAAGTTTGCAATGAAATCATCCAGTGTACAGCGAATGGAGAAAGCTGAGATGAGGATGGTGAGGTGGATGCGCAGGGTATCACTTCACGAGAGAAAGAAGAACAAAGTCCTCCTTCAATCAATGGGATTGATGGGGGTGGCACAGGTTATGAGGATGAATAGACTTAGATGGTTTGGACATGTGGCAAGAAGAGAGGCAACACACTGGCTCTAGAGGGCTCTAAACTTTCCGGTCACCGGAAGAAGACCTCGCGGGAGACCCAGGAAAACTTGGAGGGAAGCCATCAAAGAGGATGCCAAAACATTGGGTATCAGTCGTGTGGATCCCACAGATAGGAAAGCTTGGAAGGCGGTCATTAAGGAAATGAAATGTCCAACCCCACAAAGTGGGACAAATGGACTCTAAACGCTGACGATGTACATAGTTGTAATTGATATCAACTCTTTGTAAGACAGGGCCCAGAACAGACAACAATGTGTGAACTGGATTAGAATAAAAAATAGTAATACTGGGTTCTTGGACAGTGCTCATTTCTGTCTGACTCCTGGCGTTTCACAATAATGATCCCAGCTTTAGCATGGCTGCCATTTTGGGGCTCTAGCATTTCAAGGAGTTGATTCCTGCAAGGTACCCATATACCTCACATTGGTCGAGTGTGGCAAATGTAGGTTATGAAGTGTGGCAAATGTAGACCACAAGACCTCTTGGTGAAGGTGGGGCAAGATAGATAGAGCACCTTATATCTAAGAAAGCAATGGAATGGGCACTGTACCATTACAATTGTTGGAAAAGATTGGAAAATGGTAAAGGCATAAGTTTGCTATAAAAAATTGTTGGCCTATGGACTACCCTATGCAGTTTCAAATGATATCCAAATACCCAAAAGAGAACATAAAATAACACAGATAAGCAAATATATCCTATAGCAAGACTTACTGTAATCCTTCTCTCCTTTCTCCTTTCCTCCACATAATTTAGTTTTCTCTGAAAGAGATAAACATCAAAATACCAAATAAATACACCACACTTACCTACATTCAAAATATATTGGCTATTGTACTATCACAGACATTTTGTTAAACAGCTGTTGTAATAATAAATCATTCCATGAATTTAACCAGTGGAATACTGGATTCAAGATATATATAGAACTATGTCATATCGAAACTAGTTTGTAGCCAACACCTGTAGACAAAGTAAAGCAAGCCATTGAACCTTATTTAATATTTAGTCATTGCAAGATTTAGTTTCTTCAACATTTCATGTGGCACAAAAGTAAAACTCATGATAGACACCATCAAATGAAAGAAGTCATCGTTACTGTAGTTTCACTTAATAAACATAGACATAGAACAATTATACCCTAATGAACAATATCTTTCTACTTGGGCCATCATTTGGGTTGCTTTTAATCAGGATAATGACCAAGAAAGTCAAAATGACTGTATGTAATACACTACGCTGTATAAGACATTGGCTGTGGATACTTACCGTTACATCCTCATTTGCTGGATCAATGTTATGTGCAAAACGGAGATTGTCTACTGCATATTCATGACCTGTTTAAAGACAGAAAAGGGTGATTAAGATGCATCTTATGATTAAAGAGCAAAAGAATGCCATGTTTTAAACTCATAATGTATATATATATATATATATGACCACTATATTTTCTTCAAAGATAAAAGTAAGTGATGAATACAGGAGATATCATTTTTATACCACTCTACTCTGAAAAGATCATAATACTTTCAAAATAAACAAAATTGTTTGCATGGAAAACTTTCTTCTTATTATGAATTCTGAAATGAGGATGGGAGAGATCTAAAGAAAAAAGCATCTGTTATTGAGAACAGCCTTTAACATTTTTTTTTTCAGACTGCATACGATAAGAAATATTTACAAATTCCAAATTTCTTTATGAGATGTGAGTTGGTCTAGCGGCACATTCACTTGGTCAGCTCTCTGTCTTCGCCTACAAACTGGCTCAGATGACCCAGGTTCGAAACTAAGTCATTTTCCGGATGGTGACGTTAAAGGTCGGTCATATCTGATTGATACACATCTGTAAAAACCCAATTACACACACATGAGAGACAAAGGCTTTCCTTACCTGGCCACACGAGGGTGTCATCAGGAATCTGGCAGATTTTATCCAGACTACTTAGCATAAGGGAGGGAGGACCTTCAAACATTCGACCTAATAGAAGATAAAACAAAGGCAGAAAATTTCAGACTCTGTAATATGATATAACGGTTTCCTTTACAAGTTCTTTGCCCCTTCAATCCCTCCCCCCCCCCCCCAAAAAAAAAAAAAAATATGAAGACTAATGGGCCGTTTTCGTAGTTTAATCAAATTTAAGACACAAATCCTTGTATGCCTAGTTACCAATTATTTCATTCACCTGTTACCAATAATTGTACCCCAACAGTCATAATGCGAATTGCATACACTAAGTGTTATCCTACCCAGCAACAATTAATGTATGCAATATGTATTCTGACTATTAAAATACAATTGTGGGTAACAGGTGAATGAAATAATTTGTAACATGGCACTTAAAGGTAATACAAAGTTTTGGGAAATTTTGAAAATTGTACCAGTTGGTGCAAGAATGAATAATGATGCCGTAACTTTCATGAGCATGTGTTCGGTATTCGTCTTGATGGGTTTCCTTTTGTCAAAGTTTTGTAAAAATTACTTTCATCTGCCCATACGGAGAGAGTATCTATGAAGTGGTTTATTCTGGCCTGACATGCACCTTCAAAATGGAATGGTACATGACATCACAATGGATTGACCGATTGTTGCAAACTTGATCTCAAAAGTTGTGCATAGATATGCAGGTAACAACTTTATGAGGGATTGTTCTGATATGGCGTGGAAAAATATTTCTGTATATTATAACATTCACCGCAGTAAATAAACCACTTAACCACAGCGTTTTGATTTGTTTTTGTGGCGTTTTACCAAGGCATATCTGAAAGAGCCTCTATAAGATGCCTTTCTAATTACCATGCATAAAAACTAACAAAAAGGAAAATCAGGGATGATTCCAATTGCTTATTAAGCTTGAAAAGAAACCCAGACATGACGCAACCCCCAATTCTTCAAAATATGAAACATGAAAGCCCTGAAAAATAAGCGAGGCAACCAAGCTGACCATCACCTTCTGTGGGCAGAGACATAAAAGTTGTCATCCCCAAAGAATTTCATATAATGCATATGTACCTATTCCTGAATAATACTCACCATTTCCGCCTAAGAAGAGAATATCTCCAGTAAAAAGAGAGTTAGGTAAATTCTTATCTGATCTGTCAAGTAGATAGACCATGTGACCTGTACGAATGTAAAGGCAAGCAATAAAACATGAAAAAGGATGCATTGCACTACAGGCAAACATGTGAGAGTGTACAGTCTAACCTGCCCTAGTGGCCTCCTCTCTCTTTAAAAAGACGTATACATTCAATCTGGTTACATTACGAAAATGGCCAATTGAAATACATAAATAAACAGGGGGGTGTTTCACAAAGATCCGAAGTTGAACTTATCTCGAAGTTGGACTTACATGTAACAATTATGGAAAGCCGTTAGCATCAATGAAAATATTTTGCAAAAATTATTTGAAAAGGCATAAAATGTTGATTCAAATCATTCATATTTTCAATTATGTCAGGAGATTTCATGTTCTTGATTTGGAATTTATGAAAAGTCTAAAATACTTAATTTTACTTTTATATCATTATAAGGCTACAAATGGCTTTCCATAATATTTAAGTCCAACTTAGAGTTAAGTTTCAATTAGAATCTTTGTGAAACATCCCCAGGTCTAGTCACTTTCTTGTAAAGGAATTGGATGAAAGCTGGAAGTGGGGATAACAAAGAAGGGAAGTTTAGCAAAACTAAGTCAAAGCATGAACAAACACTAAGATACTTTCTGAGTACCATCTTATAGACCGGTTTACTATCAAACTTATTCAAATTCATGGATGTTTCTTTCCAGGGGATTTAGTGAAGAGTTATTCCATCAACCTGTTATTAGTGAATAAACTACAATACTTGTTGCTATGTTGGGCAAGCCTCTGGCAAACTTTCAAGTTGTCAAGAAAAACCTTTGTTTACAAATTTTGCATACAATTGGAATATGTTGGTAAATCTGCCTATTGAGAAACAACCTACCAACAGTGTGTCCAGGAGTAAATAGTGCAGTGAACTTTAAGCCTCCAATCTGGAAACTATCACCATCTTTAAGTTTACTGCAAACAAGAAAGAAAAAATACACTAAGGAACATTGACAAAATTCACCCATGCCAGCACACAATGAACCTGGCAAACCTTTCACTTTCACATCACTCTCGTTACCATACACAGCAAGGTTAGAATGCAAAGATTTGAGAGTAAACAGCTTTATCGTGATTTTGGAAACCACTTGTTCATTTGCAAAAACATGCTTTTGTCGTCTGTGGAGTGGGAGACTAAAAGACTAATACGCGTGACAAAATGAAGCACTACTGTGCAGAGCTAGCAGTGTTTTCCTGTTTCACTAAATGCTGATTTGGCGAGCACATGTATACTTACTGATTACATCCTGGCACTCCATCCCTCTCGCCACCATACACAGCAAGGTTAGAATGCAAAGATTTGAGCTTCTGGTTGCCTCCTGAATGATCCCTAGATATATCAGAAGAAATAAAGGTATTATAAAAATGTGACATGCTTGCTCAAGGAACATGCATCATTTCACAATTGTATTCAAATCCATGCAGTCATCTTTACCAGATGCCTCTGAGATTGGATGCTACTACAATGGGTAGGAATAAGCCCATTTTTGTTTAATGTATTCAAATTTATGCATCTTCTTGTTAAAATATCAAGTGATAAATGGACCTGTTGCTGATGTATTTCATTTTAAGCATGTTTCTCTCCAGAACCCTTCCTGGCTCGAGGGATATAAAAACCCAGCACGTTCTTGCCATTCCTCATTCCCGTGCAATGCTTCAAGCTGTGCAGATCAAGACATTCAAGAATACTACTACAGTTGCCTCGTACTCACACCCATCTCACCCCTGACCAAGAGGAAGCCATGGTGGAACGGCTCAAAGCCAATGAAGTCCTCTAGAAGAAAAAAGTTGAGGCCTAAAAGGTCACAAAGAAAAAGAACTTCCTGTGGTAGAAGCAAGCAGAGGTGGTGGGTGTCAGCAGTGAGGAGCTGATCATCTGGTACATGTATACCAGCCCGAGGACACACTACACCAAGCTGAGGAAGAAGAAGTATGGTGATGGTGCTCCTGAGCTCACAGAGAGAGAGACCAGTGGGTGTTGGACAACTTCTCCTTTCTGGCCCCCTTATTTATGAAGTGAAGAAAAGGAAACTTGTAAGTGTACATGTAATTACAAGAGCAACACCAGCTACAACTCCCGACCCCATAGATGAAGAAAACTTTGTCCATCTCTCTGGACAGGTGACAAGTTAGTCTGACACTCAACAGAAGTTTAGCACCTCAACAGCCTCCACCACCACAACAACCACCTCCAACACCATCACAACCACCTCTACCACCACCAGGTCCTCCGCACCCAAACCAACATACTCCTTCAGCTCAGGCATCAGCGGCAAGATTGACCAAATTATGGACATGAAGAGTCGTCTTATGCAGCACATCGCCAGGCTCAACACAGACCGGATGAAGGAGACCTTCATGGAGTACATCGGGAGACTGCCTACGATATCCATCCAACTTTGTGGGAATATATATACATGTATATATATACATAGGAACATCATGAAGGCTGTGCTGATGTATAAAGAGAGGGATACTGAGCTCAAGAGGGGGTAACATCCTGGAGCTACAGCTACAGCTCCATATGGGTCCTCAGCTGGTTGGCAGCCACCACCACACATGCTTGACCACGTCACGTTGTAGATTAACGTAGGATTCTATTAATTTATGAACTATTTGTATTTTGGTTGTAAGTGATTTGTAATTACCTGTATGTACATGTATTATCTTCATTTGTAATGCATATTCTGTTTCCTTTACTTTTGAACTATTTTCTAGTGGCAAACAGGAGATATGTAAGCCATCTACACTAAAGAAACCTATTGTTGAGAGATAGATTCTCATGTTACAGCTTACCAATGCTTATGGGTTGTCAGGATAGCTGTCAGTTGCACGTTTTGTTGTTCAATCACCCTCTGTAAACAAACCAAATGAGAAAGGTTAACAACAATAAATAAGCTCTTTTATATTGTCTACACATGTATCCATCTAAGGGGATGCTCAAGGTGCCAACATAATAATACTATTACCCTGGTTTTAGCAAAGATGCCTTTTTGAGAACCTGCAATGCTGGTACCAAGGATTGAGAATGGCCAATGTCAATTAGTGTTTAGCTGTTACGAATCCAAGCGATCATGACATCTATCTTTTTACACACTTTCTTACATCATTTATGGCATGCGTTATTAACTCTTTTCTAGCTACATGACAATTAATGAAGGAAATTCTAATCCCATAATCAAAGACAATTTAGGGATGTTAAAGGCAGTAAGTCCCTTTTGCAGATTTGTGCAAACTCCACTGGACTTGGCGACTTAGATACATCCTTCAGATATAATTACCGGTATGTGAAATTGTGCAGTCATATAGGTTCCGAAACTTTACGAACGACTTGTATATGAAGTGCCAGATAGGATGCCCAAAGTTTTTCCTGATGTTTTAACAAAGTGTGAATATATTTCCAATAACCTCAATTAAATTATGGCAAAAAAATATACTGCGCCATAAAAATGTTTGATTTAATAAGAATGTTAATCTACACCTTCACAGTTTAACTTTAGTTCATGCATTTAATAATGATTGAGCATGGCTTTTCATGTTTAAGTCATTCGTAAAGTCATGCGTAACTTTATGAACAGCTATACCCCCTGGTATAGATTCAAAGGGATTGTTGTACCTGCACAGCTTCCGCATCTCCAGGATCTATAACAGCAGCGATGTTTGATGCTTTCTCAATGACCAAGTATGCATAGTTATCCTTCAGATACGGGATAGGAAGAATTATCACACCTGTAAGAGGAAGATGACACACAATGGTACATTACAAAACAGCCAAAGGTAGTACCATTTATGGAACATGCATGTAAATTATAATGTAGTGATTCAAGCATTTTGTACAAGTATTATAATAGCTTTAACCGCAAAAGACCTGAGGAGTGCTCTCACCATTGATTGGTCTCTCAATTATTATCTTTAGATAACATTTCTTCCTACAATAATGAACTATCAAAAAATGTAAATTCTGAAGATTTGTTACGATTGGTACGTCCCTTGAGAAACCGATGTCAGTAAATGACGAGAGAAAATAGTGGCATAAACAGTCTGCCATAGTCAAGTCCAAGTTTTTCAACATCTGTACGTTTCACATCAGCCTTATAATTCTTGAAATTCTAAGCCTAAAAACTGATCTTTTTCCAATCATTTATTGAAACTAGGAATTTTGCAATTTTTCTCATTGAATTTGTAAACAAAACTTTATAATTATTTGGATATCATGTATGTACATGTATATAGCACAAAAAGTACCTGAACTGTGATGAAAAATGAACAATAACTATGCCACTATTAAAGAGGGTATCTCACTGAGCAACTAATACTTGCGAATATCTAGTGAATTTGGAGTTTCACCAGGGTTCACAAAAGGTCCCAAACATTCATACATGTAAATAAAGGATTAGCAAATAGTTGCTAATCTTCGCAAAAACTGTTGCTAACATTTGCTTACAGTCGTTAATAGTCGCCAACTGCCAAAATTTGCAACATTCCTAAGCATTCGCCGCTCAGTGAGATACACTGTACCCCTTTAAAAGTTGTTACAAAGCAACTTAGAAGCAAGTCACTATTTTTGGTCACCTTCGACTTCAGTGTGCTCCACCACAGAATGGCCATCAGGGAACACTAATTTGTTCTTGGCGATGTCTCTGCTGTTCAGATAGTTCCCAACTCTGGTCTTGGTGTAAAGGTTGTAGCTGCAAAATAAAAAGGCATTTCAACTTACATATTTTGGTTGTTAAAATACCATGTTTATGTTTGTAAATTTTGATTTAAATTCCCTTATGTTGAGAATTGCAAGGGGCTCAGCTGAAAGCTATCAAGGATTTTGCATATTTTGACCCAAAAAGAAAAACAAACTTCCTTTATATTTCAAAAAGTGGAGAATTGATCTTGGTGTTTTATGTGTATCATGCACTTCAAGTTCCAGTCTATCTAATTTATAAACAATGCTGAACAAATGCAGATTGCCTAATTGACATTGAAATTTGAAAAGACCCTCCTTCCTTTTTATTTTTACTGACAGGATGCGAACATTATACTGTACGTCATATAGTCTTATGGATCTATATATAAGGTACCACTACACTACTCCTTGCTTTGATATGTTAAAAAAGAGTGTAATAAAAAAAATGTAATTGTTGAATACATGAAAATCCCATGCCAGTCACCAAGAATTAATATTAGCAACCATAGTCAAACTCAGGCATTCAAGAGCAAGCTTGCTCCTTATTACCGTAACTGCTATCTCACACGATGGGAAGAAAGGATCAAGCGGCTCGGTGTAAAAATGTCAGAGGAAAAAATGTCAGAGGTAAAAATGTCAGAGGTAAAAATGTCAGAGGTAAAAATGTCAGAGGTAAAAATGTCAGAGGTAAAAATGTCAGAGGTAAAAATGTCAGAGGTAAAAATGTCAGAGGTAAAAATGTCTGAGGTAAAAATGTCAGAGGTATAAATGTTAGAGGTATAAAATAAAAACAAAAGCATGTGACAAGTTTGTTATGGTTACACCCGGGTTATATATTAGGCTTATCGAAAAAGAACAGCGAGGGATATTCTGCAGTCGTTATTTCACCGCTGCTTTATTCTCCACTTTCCCAGTTTAAATTTATTTACCTTTCGGCCCCAAAATGTGACTTTTTGCTCGATTATTGTCGAAGGAAGACGGGGGGGGGGTATTATTCTTCTTCTGGGGCACGGTAACCCGGCTGCTCTCCCCCTTCCTCTTATATGCTTTGCTATATATCCTTCCGAACAGTGGTCAATGCCTAGGCAGAGCAGGCAGACTAATGGGACATGGTTTCTACTCCGAGTTTCGCGCCTTACACGCAGTCATCAGGCAACTGATAGCATTCTTAAAAGTACATGGTTATCCTACAACCTTAAAGGGAAAGTCCATCCCCAAAATAAGTTTGTTTCGATAGATGCAGAATAATAAGAAAATCAGGTGAGTGAAAGTTTGAGCAAATTCTGAATGAAAATAAGAAAGTTATGAATTATTGAAGTTGTGATCAATCAAATACAAATTGGCAACTCTGTGACTTATTATACATTCATTATCCTTCATTTGCTTTGTGCATAATATTCCATAAAATCATGTTTTCTTCGTTATTGATGACGGAATATATATTTGTTCCTTGCAGGGGGAGTATAGAAACATATTTGCAATTATTATATTTAGGGTGCATGCATGGTTGAAATTTTTCTTGAGGGAAAATGAAAATTTTAGATTTTTTTAGTACTGAGCAAATGGAAGTTGAGCTCGCATGATACGTCATAGAGTTGCCAATTTGTGTTTGATTGATCACAACTTAAAAAATCCTAACTTCCTTATTTTTAATCGGAATTTGCTCAAACTTTCCCTGACTTGTTTCTCTCATTTTTCTACTCCTATTAAAACTAACTTAATTTCAGGGTGGACTTCCCCTTTAAATCGGTACAAATACCCCTAAAATAAGACTTAACTAATAAAATACAATTGGAATTACTCATGAGTATTCTTATTGTATTGTATTCAGGTATTGTAGTCTTATTGTATTGTATAGCTCTTATTTTGTGCGTATTTGTACCAAGGTTGTAGAGGAATCATGTACTTTGACGAAAGCTATCAGTTGTCTGATGATCGCTTGCAAGGCGTGAAACTCGGAGTAGCAACCATGCATGTCCCATTAGTCTGCCTTATTCAATATTGATATACCGGTATATTATGCTTTTGTATAAGCAAATGGTACTGGTACACTGAGCAAACTTCTGGGGAAAAGATTTCTAAAATCGAGAAGTTTGGCCATGTTTTATAGGCTGAGTTGTCGCCCCATGGTGTAATCATTAAATAAAAAGAAAAGTCAGTACAGCCCACAAAATAGGAACAGATATCTATGACCCCCCCCCCCCCCCCCAACTTCTCCTTCACTTTTGAAGATTGTTGGACATTTCAACTGCGTGGCAATGACTACTATTATATGTAATTTCCAATAAATGCATATTTCCGACAATTCCACTTTCTTGTGGGCTTGGTATTTTGATACTCTGAAAGTAGGGTCCATGCTGAAACAAAGCAGAAAGCCATGTTATCAGTGCTAACCGCACCATCACATTCCCGAAGTGCTCACGTTGCAATAAAATATTGTCGATTACTATTGCGATATAGAGTAGTCTGGGAAAAATCAATAAGCAGCTTTGTTACTCCGATACAAAGCAGCAAGCCGCCCATGTTACATCAATTAAAGAGAAGGTTGAGTTCTGGGGAAAGGTGAACAATAATGTGTGAGCGTTTGTATCATTCTTATTATGCAAGTGTGGAAGAACATCAAAGAAAAAAGTTATTCCCTGAAAATCTATTTCATATGACTTCATATCCCAGATATGACAAGTAACAGCTTTAAAATGAGGCCCGATAATAATGTATGCCATATGTTTGTGTAGTCCCATATCAATATCTTTCTGTGTACCAAAGATTTTATCATTTTGATGACTCCAAAACCTTGCACTACACACCAATACTTACATGTTTATGCTAGATGATCAACCTTTTCTGATTGCTTCCACACCGTTTCTTTCACAATGCAATCGCAAGACCAGAACTCAACTTTATCTTTAAATGCCAACCGCACCATCACATTTTAGAGAAGCGCGCGCTTTGCAGAGGTTCGGTTTAAATTACATCGTTATTTATAATTGTCAGAGAGTTTAAAATGGGGATGAGCTTCTGAATCGAGACGGTCTTTTACTTTTTGGAGTGGGTTTTTAGTTTTCGGAGCGACTTTTTAGTTTTCGGGCGACTTCTTGTTTTTTCTCATTCTTACTCCACTTCCTTTGCCGCCATGAGGTGCTAAAAGCTTTAGCAGAGTTCGGGGCGCCCAGCCCTTATATGTAACTTTTCGTGATTCCTCATGATTATGTAACTATTTTGTACTAAATGCACTACTCACTTTAACACTTGACTTTTGTCGAGAATTTTCATTTCTTCGTTTGGTCTTTGTTCGTCTCTGGAATGTTACACGGGCTACATGTATGTTGCAGGCTGCCACCGGCCAAACCGGTCCGTTTCACAAACATTAACACATCAACCAATTCAAAATATCAAAAATGTTACACATTCATTATATGCAAGCCTGATCACAACAAAATAAATTTCAAAATCTATTTTCCACATTGTATTATCCTCGGGACATGTACGAAATACAACACACAGCCATTTATAAAATTTACATTATGGAAGAAAGGAATATAATAGACTAGCCCATGCAGTAGCAGTACGTCTCAACATTCTGTGTGATAAAAGTGTTGAGATATTATGACGGCACTCATTTTTTTTGCTTGTACCTCTGACATTTTTACAACTGACATTTTTTCCTCTGACATTTTTACCTCTGACATTTTTACCTCTGACATTTTTACCTCTGACATTTTGTCCTCTGACATTTTTACCTCTGACATTTTTACCTCTGACATTTTTACCTCTGACATTTTTACCTCTGACATTTTTTCCTCTGACATTTTTTCCTCTGACATTTTTTCCTCTGACATTTTTACCTCTGACATTTTTACCTCTGACATTTTTTCCTCTGACATTTTTACCTCTGACATTTTTACCTGGCACCGATCAAGCATCGGTGGCTTCCTGATACCATCAACTACTCCGACACAATTTGGAAACATATCCATAAGGGAGGATGACCCTCTGAATACATCTGACCATTACCTGGTCACGACCACCTGGAGCCCACAATCACTCCCTTTGCCACACATTACGAAAGAAAAGGCACCAAACCAGACATGCCAATCTCTGGAGTTAAAAAAACTGTATTCTTTAATCCCAAAAGTTGTATTTTACTGACAAAAGTTGTATTCTTATAAATAAACAGGAACTGTTACATGGATCAATGCCTCTCACAGTTCCTACATACAGGAAGAATTTTTTAATGGATCATTGGTTGAATGATTTCGTCACGACTGGTGTGTTTGATGAACCAATGAACATCCCCAAAATTGCCGATGTGAGATGCTTGTACAGGTGTACGGCTTGTACGGTATTCACACCATGTATGCATCTTGAATGCACTTGCGCATCCGTCTGTCGCCACCCTCTTGATATGATATTAGGGCGTGTGATGTGCTATAGCGTTCTGGGCCGCGGGCTGTCTAATCATTCAGATTCCTACTGCTGCTGACGACCCTTACGACCTTACGACCCAGGAGTATAGCTGAGTGACAAGCTGAGCATCTATAGCTGAGCTGATAATATAAGGTTAGTTACTAAGTTAGTGAATGTTAGTGAATGTCTTTGTTTCATCCCATCCATCTCATCCATCCCACTTTCACAGTAACAAGTAAAACGGTGGTCTAACTATATAACTCTGCCATCATTCATCTCATCTATTCTATCTAGTACTAACCACAAGTTTTACTTCATAAAGTTAAGATTGATTGAACTAGATCTGAATGATTTATACTACCGGGCCCATATGCAATAAACTTCTTAAGCATGAAATCTAAGTACTTTTTCTTAAATTTTGGCTAAGAAAAAATCTTAGCCAAAAATCGTATTCTATAACAGCAATGGGGACTTAAGAAATTTGCCTTAAGATTAAGAAGGATTCTTAGATTTTATCTAAGAAAAAGGACTTAAAGGTACTATGTCCCTTTTGCAGCCAACCTCAAATTCTGTAGAACTTTGCAGGAATTATGAATATATCATGTATGTCCTATCTGTGAAATTTAAACGTTAGCAGGGTCCGCATATTCAAATTATGCAAGGAAACCCGTTTACTTGCTAGACTTCACTGTCAGACACTATTGAGTGACTGACTGGCTTTTTTCCTTCTTTGGTAATAACATACATGAAAAGAGTTGTAAAGGGTACATGAGCATTTTTCTACATCAATAACCCACTTTTTGTGATGGCCAAGATTAAACTGATTGAATCTTTGCGCAGCATAAAACGTATGACCATTCGGTACAACTGTCTGAAAATCAAGACTATTACTTTTGGGCTCTATAGCCCTAAAGTCAATTTGACAACTAATAGTCGTTATTTTCCCACTTGAAGACATTTTCAAGCCCCATCCTTTTTAGGGAAGTTCTAAATTAGTATTATATTTCAAATGCAGTTGGAATTTAACTTTTTCATTTTTTTGGCCTGCAAATGGGACATAGTACCTTTAAGTAGCATGTCGTATTCTAATACAATCGAGATATCTAAGATAAGTAAGAAATCTACCCTATATTTAAGCATACTACGAGGATGCTTAATGGGGCTTTGGCACCGGCAGCTCAGTAATGCTGCAAGCAACCGCTTCGGGTTTCGATCAAATGGAATAAAAACAATGCATGCAGCGCGAGCGCAGGTTATCAGTTGACCTATAACAACGTAAGCTTCGCGTATACAGCATCGACAGCGCAGCGCGCAGGAGCGCCATAGGCTCTGTGTACTTGTACTTATGTATGTTTGTTTGTACACAACTAAACGAGTAGTAGCATACATGCATAACACTAAATCATGACATGGCTGTCGTAGATAAAGAAACCGTCTCTTACTTTATAAGTCTTTGGCGCTTAAGTATGGAAACAGGGAATAATGTGCAATCGGCATAATATTAGGTGAGACAAAATTTGTTATAGTATGAGTCTGATAAAGGTTACATCTAGCCATTTGATTAATTTTAGGCCATCATAACAGTAGACGATGTAAAACAATGAAAGGGTAGCTCCAAATCCAATGCTAGTGCTGGTCGGCCGGCTAGTGACGGCGCTCCCTTCATACTCACAGACCCTGCGGCTGCGACATAATAAGTAAGCCCGGTTGGGCTCCTCGGAGTTGTTTCAAGACAGAAAAGTATAAAAAGCCTACAGTGGATGTTAGATCTAGCCTCAGGTGGTCTTGACTAGACTGTTTTAGTGTCAGTTGGTCAATCCCGAAATAATTATGTGAGCATCGTTCCTCCCTTACGCTCTCCCATACATGTTAGTGTATAATTTTCGTGCAGTGCGATTTTTATTTTAACACGCAAATTACATAGGCAAATCGAGTTGCAATTAATTTGCTCGAGTCGACCACATCAACTTTCCCACATGACGTCATCGGGTCTAAGAATTTGTCTTATATTTCGTCTTAGCTAAGACAAACTGCTTTACGTGTTTAGAATACGGCTAAGGCAACTTTTTAACCTAGACAAATTCTTAGACATTTTCTTAGACTTAAGAAAAATGTCTTAGAAGTTTATTGAATACGGGCCCAGGACCCTGGACTACCAAGTCCCGGTGTCCCTAGCCTAGTCTAGTCATCATGAGACATGACGAATGCCATGCCGTGCACAGTGCAGCATCAGCACTAACTCCGGAAGCTCTAACACCGGCGCCGGTGTTGGAGCTTCCCGGAGTTACATCAGCACATGTACACTGTACATGAACACACTGCCCTTCACTCGTGCGGTAAAGCGCACGATCATTCCCGGGAAGTCCTGTGGGGCTAACTGCATGTTGAACCCCTACGCAACTTGGAGCCACAAACATGACATTATAAGTTTTCAAAGAGACAATCTTACCCGACAGCAAACAGAGGACTTCCAGGCTTGAACATCTTCTTGAAAATTTGAAATCTCGAAATAAGTAGACGATCGCAAATATTGAAAGCTGAACAATCATTGTTTTACTAGGTTTTTAGTTCATTAAATAAGATGTAGGCCTACAACAAACACAGTTGTTATGTTGTATTTGTCTTACATTTTATGATGTAGTGACCAAACTCGTTTTTACCATTTCAAAACTTGGTTTTTTATTGAAGAACACCGTATAGCATATTGGGTGTGTGTCTAATTTAAACATACATGTCAGACCCGAAGCCTTATTACTTTAATGGTCACGTGGGTCTGTGTACTTACGTTAAGGACAAAGTAGTCCCTTGATTATTTATCTATAAATTGTTTGTAGGTAAAGTTAAATGGACCGTAATGAAATTATGATATTTTCTCATGTATGTTTTATTGTTCTATCATAAACTTGATTATTATACTTAGTTCAGAAGGATGTGCATTCATGCTCGAAAAGTAGTCTTTACGAATGTGCGCTATGTCAGGCAAGGCCCTGATGGGCATTTTATACAACGGACATTCGTTCACTTGCTTTAAGCGAAGCTGGTTGTCTCCATTTTACTCCGACACGCTTAAGCTTTGCCGTCAATGTAGCCTGTTTGTGTTGCACCATTTTAACAGGTATGTAGATGTAGAGATAATTGAATATATTTGATGCTATTGAGTTTTACTTTGCTACCAGTGTTTATGATGCCGTAATATCATTGATATACGAGTCTGTTCATTAATTGTATATTATGTAATGAGATGTTTTATTCACTGTACGGTAGAAACGTACCGAGGCATGTTAAATGTATTCTTCTGTTATTTACTTCATAAAAACTTATAAACTTCAGCTTCATTGCACTTCACCATGGCGTCTCAACTTCTTCATTTTTGTTGGCTATGATTTGAACCGTGGAACACGCGTCCCACAATGATATTAAAAGTGGAAAAAATCCACCCCGTGCATACCACATACATGCAGTGCTAGAGGTCCATACGCATTAGCATGGACTCTCTATGCTTTGCTGGAGTGTACTACCTAAGTCCCCAGTGTCCCTAGCCTAGTCTATAGTCATCATGAGACATAACGAATGCCATGCCGTGCACGGTGCACAGTGCAGCATCAGCACATGTACACTGTACATGAACGCACTGCCCTTCACTTTACTCCCACGTGCGGTAAAGCGCACGATCATTCCCGGGAAGTCCGGCGGGGCTTGCTGCATGTTGAACCCCTACGCAACTCGGAGCCACAAACATTACATTATAAGTTTTCAAAGTCAAAGAGACAATCTTACCCGACAGCAAACAGAGGACTTCCAGGCTTGAACATCTTCTTGAAAATTTGAAATCTCCGTAATAAGTAGACGATAATCGCAAATATTGAAAGCTGAACAATCATTGTTTTACTTGATTTTTACTTCATAAAGTACACCAGGCGGGGACGTAGTTCGTAGCGCAAAATGATTGCATCGCACAGCTAGCTAGCTAGCTCTGTACTGTCAGTGAGCTAGCTACGCAACGTGCGTAAGGCACCTTCTCTCGAGTCTCGACCCCTAAATTCTTATTTCTACTCATGCATAGCGGATAGGGGCGAGGGACGTACCGTGCCCCCGTCAGTGGTGAATCCAGGGGCGGAACAAAAAATGTGTAACGTTAATTTTACCTTTTCTTCTAGATGCCCCCCCCCCCCCTGGCGCTCAAAGGGGGGGGGGGGGGGAGGGGGGGGGAGGGGGGAGGGGGGGAGGGGGGGAGGGGGGTGGTGCACTTTTTCAAGTATTCGAGGACCCTGAAAAAAAAAATTAGTGCTCACTACCCCCCCCCCCCCCCCCCCCCCCCCACCACCACTGAGTGAAATATTGGCCTTCACGATTTTTCATATTTCAGCACACTATATTTCAAATTGATTTCAAATGTGGGCCCCGGCCGGCACCCCTCGGAAATCCTGGATCCGCGCTTGGCCCCCGTCCCATATTATCTACGCCGCTGTCCAGGCAGCTTGGGATTGGGGGGGGGGGGTGCAAACATGCCAGCTATAGGGGGTTCACCTTCCAGGCCGGGGCAGTACCGTGTATGAGCAAAAACGTTTGGAAGGGGGGGGGGGAGGGAGAAGAAAAACCTGCATCACCACCATTAACGATCAGGTAGAGCGTAGCGAGCGTAGTGGCAGTGGGATCCAGGGTTTGACCCCCGGCAGGGGTCAAGGGCAGTGGCGGATCCAGGGGGGGGGGGGGCGAAACGACCGCGCCCCCCCCCCCCTATTGGCGACACAAACTTAAAGGAAAAAAGAGGAAGAAAAGAAGGGGGAAAAAAGAAAGGAGAAGACAAGAAAAAAAAAGGAGAAGAGAAAAGAAAGGTGAAGAGAAGAAAAAAAGAGAAAAGAAAAGAAAGAAGAGTAAAGAAACACAGAGAGAGACAGAGAGAGAAAAAAAATAGAAAATAAAACGAAGAAAGCCCTAATTGAATTCAGACAAGGATTAAAGAGTCGAGAATGGTACAACGAATCGTCTTCTTTTTCTAATAATTCAATGAAACGTCAAAGCTTCCGCGCTTCGCGCGGGAGGGGGGGGGAGGAACTCAATTCAGACAAGGACAAAGAGTCGAAAACGGTACAACGAACCGTCTTCTTTCTCCAATAATTTAATGAAACGTTAAGCTTCCGCGCAAAGCGCGGGAGGGGGAGGGAAACTGAATTCAGACAAGGATTAAGAGTCAAGAATTGAACAACGAATCGTCTTCTTTCTCTAATAATTAATGAAAGGTCAAAGCTTCCGCGCTTCGCGCGGGCGATAGGAAACTGACTTCAGACAAGGATTAAAGATGAAGTTGAGTTCTGGTCATGCGATTGCATTGTGAAAGAAAGGGTGTGGAACCGACCAGAAAAGGTTGATCATCTAGCATATTAGAATTTGTGTGTATTGCAAGGTTCTGGAATCATCAAAATGATAAGAAATGTGGCCAAGTCTTGGTAAAGTTACAAACTTGCACAGAAAGATGTATATGGGACTACACGAACACGTGGCGTAAAAAGCCGGCCCCCCGATTTTTACGATGTTACATGCAAATTTAGAATATGAAGGCATTTGAAGAGCCATGCTTTTCAGGGAACATGTCTTAATTGATTTTCTTCCACACTTGCATAATAAGAATGAGTAATGCTCACAAATTATTTTTCACCTCTTCCCAGAACTCAACCATCTCTTTAAGAGTCGACAATGGAACAATGGACAATGGAATTTCATGAAACATCATATAGCTTCTGCGCTTCGCGCGTAATGGGTTGGGGGGGGGGGGGGGGACAGCGAGCTGCCCGAATATGAATTTTTGATATCTTTTCTCGTTTATTTTGGTGATAAATAACACTTTCACCAAATACATATAATGCTCAAATTTTTGATCGCTTCGCTCATTGTGAAACCAGAAAATGACTTTTCGGGCAAGAGGCTATCGCCCTCCCCCAATGAAAATGTCAAAAAAATTGTACCGGTATGGTGCTTCTTATAATGACCTTGTCAGTATTGGAAAATCCTGGATCCGCGCCTGAAGGGGCTGAGCCCCCGGAAGCTCAGGATTTTTAGGCATTAAATTACGGTCAGATAAGCATATTTAGATACCTTATTTGTGACACTGGCAGGTCACTATAATTGACGGTGGTTTAAGGGGGCAGAGCCCCCGGAAGCTCGGGTTTATTAGGTATTTAATTACGGTCAGATGAGCATTCAGGGGCTCTCTTTAGGGCCCTTGATGGGGTCCAGGAGTCAGAGCCCCGGAAGTTCAGAGGTTTTAGATATTTAATTACGGTCTGATGGGCATCCAGGGGGCAGAGCCCCCGGAAGCTCATGGGTTTTAGGTATTTAATTACGGTCAGATGAGCATCCAGGGGACAGCCTTAGGGCCCTTGGTGGGGTCCAGGGGACGGAGCTCCCGTAAGCTCAGGGGTTTTAGGCTTAAGTTCTAAGGCTAAAGTTCTGAGCTAGTTATAGGCGGATATTATTGTAATGATAGCGCCAAAACATATTCCCGTTTCTACAATAACTCTACAACTACACCATCAAAACCTTTTACCCGTTAAACAATATTGCCCCATCGAATTAACAAAAGACGTCTCCTTTAAATTTATAAACGTAAGTGGTATTTACTTTTTTTATTTGAAGTTTTTTTCTTCTTCAGCCTGTCACTCATAATTTATCATTGTCATAATAATAATAATGGTAATTATTGAAATTATTGTTATTACTATTATTATAATAATCATCATCATCATCAAAATTGTTTTACAATAAAATAAAAAAATCAGCAATGAAACCAAAACTTGCAAAGATTACATGTAGGCCTACCACAATATGTCGACTTAAGATCGCTGGGGATAATGAATAATACAAGAAGGAGACTAATTAGAAACCATTGAATGACCTATGTGTGTGTACAAGGGTAAAGCTAAGGAGCAGATATAGAACACGAGTCGGCACGACGACTGTCCTCATGCGTGCACATGCTATTCCAATATCACATTGACTATCGCTTCCTCACCGGGTACCCATTTTAAACACCTGGGTGGGGAGGAGTAATGTAGATTAAATGCCTTGCTCAAGGATATGAGTGTCGTGCAGGGCCTCGAACAAAAGATGTTTGCATTCCCAGTTAGTGATGAAACCACTCGACTTCTACAATGATGATGGGGAAAGAGCAAGGAAATTCCGTAAATCAAAACAATAACGTTTATTTCGCTGGTCAACTTGAAAACTGATTGATAAAAGACTCGACAATGAGGAGAGAGAAACAGACAACAAGGAAAAAAAAAAGGGGGGGGTATAGGCCTATACGACTGAATTAAAAACTGGAGTAACAATTAAATAGTTGTAGAATGAATTTTATTTCAATAATGTGGACAAAAGTCTGACTACTTCAAAGTTCAAAATAATAGAATCTTCGGATATTAACAATAAGTAAATATTTATAAAGCGCATTATACTGCCGGTTCAGTCCCTTTGCGCTGTACATGGTAATGCAAAATATTTGTATTCTGAAAACTAATTACAAAAACAAATATAGCCATACTCATTAAAATACACAAAACTACAGATAAATTGGAACATACGCAATAAACGAAAAGATAGATACATGTACTTAGATAAAAGTCAACAAATTTAAGGCACATTATATTATTTACATTTAGTTAATACAGCCTACATTATAACCACATTCAAATTGTCATGTAAACATTTCTGTCACGTTATATTACAATCAGGGGCGTCGCCAAAAGGGGGGGGTGTGGGGGTGTGGGGGTGCGACACCCCCCACTTGTCAGGATATTGTCGGTAAAATTGCGCTGCCGTCGGGAAAAAAGAGAAAAGGGGGAGGGAAAAAAGAGAGGGAAAGGGAAAGAAAAGAAAAAAGAAAGGGAAAAGAGAAGAAAGAAAGGAAAAGAAAGAAAAGAAAAAAAAGAAAGGAAAAGAAAGGAAAGAAAAGAGAAGAAAGAAAGAGAAAAAAGAAAAAGAGGGAGGAGAGGAAAGAAAGGAAAAGAAAGAAAAGGGGGAAGAAAAAAAGAGTAAAAGGGAAACAAAAGAAACGGGGGTGAAAGAGAGGAGAGAGAGGAGAGGTAAGAGCCTGAGAGAGGAGGAGTGGGAGTAAAAGAGAGAAGGGGGTTGTTGGGTGGAGTCGTCTCGTCGAGGGAGCAAGAAAGACACGGGTAAATATGTTGCTATGTCGGGTCAGCTGTGACGGTATTCTTGCTCGATCCTCGTGTATTTCAATGCAGAATTTTGAAGTCGGTGAGATGTATATTGTCGGTCGGCCGACAAGTTTTTTTCCCTACGAACTGTGACTTTTTATCCGCTGTGACGACTTCGAGAGTGACTACAACTACAATACTTGTATTTTCTCGAAGTTTCACTTTCCTATAATATCAGCTAAAGAAATCAGAGGTTTAAAATTTTCGGGGAAACTAAATTCAAACAAGGTTTAAGGGTCAACAACTGTACGACGAATCGTCTTCCTTTCTCTGTATTGTGATGAAACGCCCAAAAAAAATCCACGCTTTGCGCGGAAGGGGAAAACTTCATTTAGACGAGTCGAGAACGGTACAACGAATCGTCTTCTTTCTCTAATATTTTAAGGAAACGTCAAATTTTCCGCGCTTCGCGCGGGAGGGAGAAGCTTTATTCAGACAAGGATTGAGAGTCGAGCACGGTTCAAAGAATCGTCTAATTTATCTAATAATTTAAGGAAACGTCAAAATCTCCGCGCTTCGCGCGGAAGGGGGACAACTGAATTCAGATAAGAATTAAGAGTCGAAAACAGTACATCAAATAGGGCTTATTAAGAGTCGAAAACGGTACAAACGAATCGTCTTTTTTCTCTAATAATTTAATGAAACGTCAAAGCTTCCGCGCTTCGCGCGAGAGGGGGAAACTGAATTCAGATGAATAGGGAGTAATAAGCGTCGAAAACGGTACGACGAATTGTCTTCCTTTCTCTATATTGTGA